ACCTGTTTCCGTGCTGCGCCCTCGCGGCCCGCGCGAGTGCGAAAGGGATTCTTTCTCGACAAAACAAACAACAACTACGCGCAGTACACAGCTACATGCAGGTGCTTTTTGCAGTGCAGTACACTGACATCACTGCACTGGCTGTATATACCTTAGGAATATCCTGTTCTTTTCCAAGGCATGATTGTCGCTAGTGGGAGAACTCAGCCACCTGAAGCTTTCATAAAGGAAGAAGTAGTAGGTGAATGAGTTCGCCAGAAAATGGAACGACAAGAAAATAGATACTGTTGCTTTCCGGGGCGCTCATGAGACGACGGCAAGATAGGACTGAAACGATCGACAGTCTGCCTCGACGCAAAAGAAACTCTTCTAGGAGAAGCTCGACGTGCTGTAGAGTTTGCAGTATTCTGCTGGAAGAAGACAAGAGAACTAAACTCAGACTACAGCGTGGAGCTGAAGCACGAGCGAAGCAAAAGCTGAAGCAAAAGCTGAGCGAGTTCGAAGAAATGGGGAAACACAGGAAAATGAGTGGGCGACATGATCTTTACTGACTTTAGCTCGAAGCTCGCGCTAAGACACGCGGTGGGCACGTGCGCCTACGGGTAGCGCGGCCAGCCACCATGTTTTCAAAATGGAGGTCGACGCTTTTGAAATCCGTGTAGACGATGGTGAGGGCTGAAGTTATCCGTTTTTTCCAACACTTACGGTTATAAGCAGAATACTGTTGAGTCAAAAATGTGCAACAAATATGCATGAGCACATGGATTATTCAATCATGTTCGATTGGGAATGAGGGCGGAGCGCTGCACTGCGGCCTTCTTGGACCCAAAACCAATCGACTCGGCATCCAAAAGACTACAACATATGAGTCTATCGCGGTCATCTACGTTTATATAAGAACAAAATGGCGTTGTTAGTGAAAATGCATACAAATTCCCATCTAATAGGGTGCAGTAACCCAGTTTCGGTGGAAGTGGTGAGTTCGAGTGGGAATAAAGGAGGAAGGGAGCGTCTTAGCTTCCTCGGATCAAGACCATTCGACTTGGCACCCCGAAGACTACAACTGGTGAAAATTTGATTTTAATCTGCTTTTAAAGCTCATTTCTGAATAATCGGTGTGGAGTGGTTTGAACAGTTTGGTCCTAGCAAGTTGCCTTCAGGGTGCGCCAGCCTTTTCTGTCTTGGCTCACCAGCTATTATATCAATGAACTAGTAATTTTCACCTTTCTGTAGCGCATCCTATCGATCACAGCTATTGTTCTCTGCAGCATTGTTCTTCAAGATTCTGAGCTTTCTGTTTGTCTTTCTCTTTATCATCATCCTGAATGGCACAAGTGAAGTAGGCATCACCGCTTACATTGTGATAGTGCTTATAATAATAATAATTTTAAAGCTCATAGCTGTACTGATGGGGCTTTTTTCTATTTTCTTTTTTTACTATGTTCACATAACCAGCTCGAAAAGGATAAGTAAAGACAATGGTACAGAGACTAGGATAAACGTGACAACTAATGAGCAGGCGCTGCACCGAGACGCAGCAGTGATGGTGGGGCATTGATGACTCTGGCGACCTGAGGTCTCGGCGTCACGGCCACAAACACGCACCAAAAGCAATGAAAAAAAGAAGATAGCCTATATTGCCGAAACAACTTGCTGTCTACAACATTGAGTAGGACAGTGACTGCATACTGGGAATCCAACTACACTATCTATACTGATGGGGCCTTTATGGCTGAAACAGCTTGCTGTCTACAATATTGGGTAGGACAGTGACTGCATACCGGGAATACAACTACTTCCTCCGTTAACAAAAACTTCGTGATGGATTTTGATGGATATGAAAATGCTTAGAACAGGTCAAGAACAGTTTGTATCAACTGCCAATCACTGGACGAAGGTGATTGAGCCTATGTACAGCGTCTTTACAAGAGAAACTGTTGGCGAAATGAGCAGAGAGTTCAGTTTGCGTCGCTTTCGCTCGATTCATTTTTGACCTGCGTCACTGTCGTCATCTGCTGCACGTGAGTCGTCATCTGCTGTACGCGAGTCGTCATCTCTCTCGAGTCGTTGTTCAGCTCGTTTCAGCCTTGCCTCGGCTTCTTTGATTACACTCCGCTGGCCTTGATGTCGCCGTCGTTCAAGTAAGTTGGCTTTCAAGCTGCATGATCCGCCACGATGGCGATTACTCGTTTCCACCACGGAGCCGTGAAAAATATTTTATGACTCCCTGGTTTCATCTTCGCTCTCCAGAACTCCGCGAAACGAGGAGTAAAGGCACAGCCAAACTGATTCTATTTTCTCTAATGGATACCAGCACTGAACGGCAGCGGCTAGAAAGTCCAGTCGACTTTCTTTAGCCAAGAGACTGGCATTGGACTGCAGACTTCTGAAAGAATGCATGGTCATCAGCATTCGAATCTGGGCTTTGCGCAGGTTGAACAAG